AAAAAGGGGGGGGGGAGGGGTACCGGCACACGATGTAGCAGAAATGTAAAAGGACTACATAATCTCTTAGTATGAGATGGTCTTGTTAGCTGTCGTGTTCATCGAGGTAACGTTTTCAGATGCGTTTACTTTACACTTTGTAAAAGACAAACATTACAACAATGACAGACGTGACGTTGTGATGAATAGAAGATGGACATCATTTCTTTCCTTCAATGACTGTAAAATTTCAAATTTGCGAAAATGTGATTATTGCTTACGACAACTTCCAGGATGATTCTAAATCACAGTTTGCCTTCTTCTGCTTGTCTCTTGCCTATCACTGGAGTTACTGCAGACTCAAACGTCCAAATCCGCACTCCGGCTTTCCCTTTCAGTCAAATTTCAAGCCCATTTACTTACGGTCTCCCATCTATCACTGCAGTTATTATCGACTCCATTGTTCTGTAAAAGCCTCGAGGGTTTCCATCAACCAGACAGCCGTTAAAGACAGGGGCCATTTCTTGTCCAAGTCCACTTTCCGGCCGTTCAGCCAAATTTCCAGCCCGGCTGTAGGTGTGTCAGTGGGTGTGTCAGGTGGCGTTTCAGTGGGTGGAGCAGAGGGCGGAGTCACAGCATCAGGCACCCGCCCCTTGGACACGCGTCGTATCGCTAGTTCAAGTCTCATCTCAGCTGACATGGAGAGACCACCGCACTGAACGCTCACCTTCCGAAGGCAAGTGCACCTGCAAAAGGAATGCCCGAGGTTGTTTTTATTGGAAAGTGTTTTACGGCGTTCGCAACTGCATAAGGTCATATGAGCGCGCGGGACGCATTATATATTTTTAGTTGGTAGGAATTTCGCCCAGGTGGTGGCCTGGGACCACCGAGATTTTTCTCCTTTATCCGAGAGGACGATGTGTTCGATTCTCACCTACCATAAGATTATGGGTGTGGCTGACAAAGAGCAGTAAGAAGGGGCCATGAAGCAGCATTAGAAAAGCTGCAGAAAGAGGCAGGAGCTCAGAGAAGGGGGAAAGAGGGGCGGGGCGGGGCGGAGGTGGTGGGGGGAGAAATTGAAGACGAAAGCAGACGACAGAATATTGTTAGAGAACATTAAAGGAGGTGAAAGGAGAAAATCTTTAGAGACGAAAAATTTCCGTCGCTAGATCTATCCGGATTTGAACCGGGGCCTATTGAAAGAGAGGCATACACCGTATGCGTAACCTCTCGACCACAAGAACCCTCGCCTGATTTTAAATCCAAGACATGATGCAAATTTTAAGACCTGTATTACCGGTATTACCTGTCCTGGGCAACAACGTAATTGCACATCGGACATGTCCATAAGTGCTCAGTTCCCCCCAGCACCAAAGCCCGCAAGGTATCCATACCGATTGTTCCGGTAGCTGCCTGATTATGGCGACGTCTTTCCTTTCCAGATAATCGTACATTTCTTCCTTCTCCCCTCTCTATCCCTATTTCCCACATCCTAATGATTGCGTGGTGTTCTGCTGTCTCCCTGTCTTCCTCATCCCGCAACTTTTCCTTCAGGGTTTTCAACATTTCTCCTTTACCAAATTTCACCTCACCATCAACCACGGCACTGCCTGCCAGCCTATCAGCCTCCTCATTGCCCTTCACTCAAGAGTGCTCAGGAGAGAATATCCACGTGATGGCTCTAAGTGATGAGTGTTGTATTGGGATCATCCATTCACTCAGAAGCAGCCCTTTCTCAACCCTTCGCAGGATGCTCTGGGAGTCTGTGACAATAATGAGACGGGTAGTTCTTGGTCTTGTATTTTGAAGCCAGTCGAGCGCTCTTGTTACGGCTTCAATCTCCATTTTCATGCTTTGCAAATTTTAAGAAATATCATTCAGCTTTTTGCAACTTTTTTTTGAAATAGTAGATTCGAATACGTTATCAGAATTGATATTATTATGCCAACTGCAAAACTAGTCGAACGAACTATCTCCGCTCACAGACACACGGCTGCTAATCTTTTTTCATTCTTTTTATAAACACAAACTTTGTGCTGTTTTACAAATCGCATTAAAGAAGATCACTGTTTCGTCACAACAGACGATAATTCTGGTATTGCACCAGTCTATAGTGTTATGTCTTATGATAATGGCACATGTTTTGTCTAAACAGGCCATTGCGACCTAGAAAAAACCCCGGTTGAAACAATTGCATTACTGAAATAATGGAAGCGTCACACCCTGTTCCCCACCTCTTGTCTCTTTGGACGTTGTATATTATAACAAATCATACATGCTTTTTCGCACTCATTATAAACGCTTAGACTAAGAAAGTTTATTTAACTGTTTAAGAGCCAGGACAGAATTGCAACTACTTTTCCCCCTTCCCTATTAGACTGCCGTGTAGACGTATAATGTTCACTTGTGTTCTCCCAAACTGGTTCACTGCCATTTCTCTCTTAGTTCTTTGAGGATGATTTAGGTGTACTTTGACAACATGTGCAGTTGTCTATTCGTATTATTATCATTATAATAATAATAATAATGA